AATCATGTCCTAATGGACCGTTCCGTTTTCCGTGTAAAGGAGATGGGTTCCTAACCCTAATGAGCGAACACAGCCTTAGTATCTAAAGGTATCAAATTTTATCTCGAGATACATAGTAAGCGTCATGAGTCTCGTGGTGTTTGCTACCCGAGCGCAACACAACGGCTTGCCGGAGGCGTTTGGTAGTATGGAGTGTCAGAGGCGCGGCAAGCGCCGCGACGGCTTAGTGGGAGGTCACACCAGGTCGGAGAATAATTCTCCAAACCCCCTCCCCAAGTTGGGTTCACACAATCAAACCATTGGATTGAGAATGTGCGACGATGTGAGGGAAAGAAGGGTCGGAGGCGTCACGAATGTTTTTTTTTCACACGTAACACAACACTAAAAATCTGTCGTTGTCACACGTAACAAATATATTTCTCTGTCTTCTCTTTTTTATGTAAGTAAAATCATATTATTAATAACTTAGAGAACATGCTATTAATTGTTATTATACATGCCTTAGCCATATTTGGTCAGAGATTTACGGGGAATCAATAATTGACTCTACGGATCTACTCTATCTAATCATTAACTAGAGACACGATCTATTCGTTTTTAACACCATGCAAAACATGTCCATATATAGTTCACACGCAAGGCCACAAAGGTATTCATCCAAAAAAACTATTCGACATCATCTTGCAGATCGATCGAGGTTTCACAATGGTCTCCTCCCATGGCGTCATCAATCCCTCTTCCTCTTCGCCATTGTCCTCGTCGCGGCGTCTCAAGTTCAACTCGCCATCAACACTGACCCTTTCATGTCCGGCGCATGCAAGACCGTTGCTGGCAGCAACGGTGGCGTCATCAGTGTCACGTTCTGCATGGACGCGCTCGGTTCCGACAGCCGGAGCCTCAACGCCAACCACTACAGTGACCTCGCCATCGTCGCCATCGACCTCCTGACATCCAACGCGACGAGCGCCAATGCCAAGATAGACAGCATCCTCAAGGATGATGGCGGCGGCATGAAACCCGACGATGCCACAACAGTGAGCCTCCAGATGTGCCAGGCGGCATACGCAGGCGTGTGTAGGATCAAGCAGGCCGACTAGAGGGGGGTGAATAGACGGTTTTAAAACTTAATGGCACTTAAACAAAACTAACCTAAGTTGCTAGACAAGGTGAGGTGCAAGGTTAACTAAGCAACTAAGTTAAGTTTTGCAAACCTAACTGATATGGGCTCAAATATGTCTCTATGAATGTAAATAGCACAAATATAAATGCAGCAAATAAATGAGACAAGAGACAAGGAATTTTTCACCGAGGTTCGGAAACTCGCCGGTTTCCTAATCCCCGTTGAGGCGAGCCCAACTCCACCGCTCAACCACGAAGCCACCGCACGCCCCCTTCGTCAAGGGGTGGGCAAGGCGGGAGCCGGCCCACAGAGAGGACTACCCAAGCCTCGATCACTCGGGGTAGTTCTTCCTTCACTCCGAAGGTGGTGAACTCCAAACCACTCACAAACGGTGCCGGGCCTCCTCCACAATCTCCTCGGAGAGGTCACCGGGCAACACCTCCACAAGACGTCTAGGAGGCGGCAACCTCCAAGAGTAACAAGTCTAGGATGCTTGCCGAGTATGATCAAGTGCCACACTAGCTATAACAATGAAGCAACGCACTTGGATTGGCTTAACTCACTCTCTAACACCTCACTAGATAAACTAAGTGCACAAGGGTGTGAGAGCTCTTGCAAGGGTTCAAGATAATGCAATGGAGTGCCAAAACCTTACCCTTGCTGCTGAGGAGTGGGTATATATACCCCCAACCACCAAAACTAGCCGTTGGAACCGAAATCCCCAACTTTGTGCTCTGCCGGTCAGACCGCCGTTGTGAGGCCGGTCAGACCGGACTACTTTGTAACGGCTAGAAAACTAGCCGTTACAGGGCAATCATTGAGCCCACTCAACCTGGCCGGTCTAACTGCAGTGTAGTGGCCGGTCAGACCGTCCACGGCTCGGTCAGACCGCCGTCGGCTCGGTCTGACCGGTTGCGGCTCTGGCGGCTCTGTATCGCCACCAAAAACCAGACCAGTGCAACAGACCAGTGGAGCCGGTTAGACCGGCCTTACCACGCCGGTCAGACCGGCTAACAGACCCGGTCAGACCGGCCTAAGGCCCACGGTCAGACCGCAGGTCACTTTTCAGCTCAACCAACCGTTAGTAAAACGGCGATATCTCTTGACTCGGGTCTCGGAATTTGGCGTTCTTGGACTCTATGGAAAGCTTATTCAAAGGGCCATCCAACCCATGAAAAATCCATCCAAGAAACACAACTTAAGTCAAGGATAAAGGGCTCACACTCCAAAGGATATCCACCGGACATACCCACAAGATGTCACTCACTCCTATTGGACATGCCCACTTCTCTCTTGGTTTAGGACTTGAGAAAACTCATCACACTTGGTTAGACAAGCCCACAAAATGCACCTACATGCATATGAACTAATATAGCACAAGATCATCCACAAGCTCGCTTCATAGACCCCTCTTGATAGTACGGCGCCTATCTAGCAAATCTAGTCTACACCAAACACCAAGACCGGGAAAAGACTAAGAAAACATTCTTAGCTACATTATACCTTTGCCTTGCGCCATCCATCTTGGGGTCAAGCTTGAGCCGAGATCAACACTTGTGACCATTCGGTTGAACCATGTTTATGCCGAGGTCTTGTCCATCCTTTGTCAAGACTTTATTCTCATCAAAAGCTTGACTTCATTCTTGCCAACATGACGATGTCCTTGACTTGGTGACCACTAACCCATGGTGTCATTCATTAGCCTCATCGTAGTGGGACCTATTCCTTTTCACACCTCAAAGGAGAACATTAGTCTCAACAAATCGGTTGTCATCCTTCACTTGATGACCAACCGGTTGCATATGAAAGATATGGATATGTTTGTTGAGTATTCATTAACATCACAAGTGTCATATACTCGTATGCAAGCTCAAGTGCAAAGATCCAATATAAATAATAGGTGAACAACATGGATCTAGAACATGCACAATAAATGTATAGGATTTGCTCCCCCTAAATATATGCATACAAATAAATATACAAGAGATGCAAGTGTATGCATAATTAGAGAATGACCAATGGGGGTTTATCCTATACATATAGAGAAGGCATATGTAGTAATGATGTAGACCAACATAAAACATATACCTTCATGATCTCCATGTTCTCAATGTAAATGAGACTAAATAAGATAACATTCGAGTAAATATTAGTCTCACACTTATATATCAATAACATGGAAATCATATATATGAACCTATCAAAAAGTAGGAGATAAGAAGTGGTACATATCGTTTTATCTCCATGCATTTCATCCTAGTCATGATTAAGGTCCATCAAAAAAGAATGCATGTCTTCCACATCTCATTATCGGGAAATAACCTAGTAGACAACTTATGCAAAAGAGAGGTTAATCCCATAAACATCGGTTTATCATCTATCACTAAAGTAACAATTACACAAATTGTTTAATCCAAGATCTTTCAATCTTTTCTCTCTTTGGTGATGAGATAAAAAATGATTTCAAATCAAGATAGAAATCTTATAATAAACAAAATATAGGATAAGCTCTCCCTCAAGATGTGCATACATATGGATATGAAGGAACGCATATGCACATAATCAATAAAGATCAAATAGGAAGCTAACACAATATTTTGGATCCACAAGAGAGACCAAGTTAGAATATGTGAAGTTTAATACATACCTCTCATCATTTTTACTTCCATATCCAAATGAGACTAGTCAAAGAAAGGCTCATAAAAACATAAGTCTCATATAATTAGATTTGTCATTAATCACCGAAACCAAATTAAGGCACTTGAACTTACAATCTCCCCCTTTTTGGTGATTGATGACAAATCCATTAACAATAACCACATTTGGATATGAAGGATATAAACCAACATTATATTGAAGCTTGACAATTGATTTATATCCATACATGTCAATGAGTAAATAGAAGTGAAATATATGCCAATGACATGCTTATGCATATGATGCATATGAAGGATATAAACGTTAGTCTCATACTGTCATATGAAGTGGAAGTTAAGGGGAAGCACACATGAATTGTGTCCAATCCAATAACCAGATCTCAACTACTTTAAAATAAGTCAGAATTGAAGTAAGAGTAAACAAATAAGCTACTACCTCCGTTCCAAAATATAACAACTTTTGTCTATAAATCTGGACACACAACTAAAAATGTTTATATTTTAGAACGGAGGGAGTACTATTTTTGTTCGTTTTAATTTTTTTTCTAAGTCAAATGATCAAGTTTATAAAAAATATAATAATATTTAGTACATAAAATAGATGTATTATCAGTTTAATGAAACTAATTAAATATTACGAATATTGCTAGTTATTTTTATAAAGTTGATCAAACTTATTTAAGTTTCGCTAAAAGAAAAAGTCCAAAATGGAAGTAATAAACACTAGTGTTGGACGAAATTACAAGCAGGATGCCAGCGTTCCCCATCCGCACCGGGCTCAGGCCGAGTCGCGCATCCCCTCGGCTTCTCTCGCGACGACAGAAAGGAGGCGCCTGACTCAGTCCTCTCTCGGCTAGGGCGCCGCGCGGAGGTTTGGGCTGCGCACGGCGGTGACGGAGGCGCACAACGGCGGCGGCATAGGAGATCTGGTGCAAGGTATCCATAAACTCAAAGGCTAAAATCCTGGACTTTCTCCCTCAAATCTGGTTTATTTCTTGGGGGATTCATTGCTTGGTTGCCAGTTAAATTTTCACCGTCTGTATGTCTATTATTACTTGATTATTAGTCAGTATACTTCAACCATATTCTCAATATACTTGTCAACTTAGGATGTGTTTGGTTTTCCGGACCGCACCTAGCTCACACCTAGTCAGCAGGGTTGTGTTCGTTTAGATGCCTGCACTTGGCTCAGAGCCAGGTTCGATGGATGCAAAAAGGCCCGCGGAGCCAGGCTGAGTTGCGGCCTGGCTCGCCTCATGCCGCGAGGCTGCATCCACGCGTGCACCGCTTGCACCCGCGCGTGCAGAACCCATGGATAGGGTCACCACCATCCCTCCTCATTTGTTCCAAACCAGTGGAAAGCTAGGGTTTCGCCGACTCGCGAGTGGAGGGCGCTGCTCGTCGCGCCGTCCTCGCCGGCGGGAGGGCCGGTCGTCCGTCAGCATCCTCTCTTCCGTTGATCATCCTCCCTCTCTTTCGCTAGCCGCCATCGCTCTCTTCCACTGGTTCGCTCTCTCCGTCAAGCCGTTTGGTTTCGCCGGCTCTCTGCTACGCCCCTCTCTTTCGTCGACTCTCTCCGTTGAGCTCTCTGGTAAGGGCTAGGTTGGGCATCTCCTTCCTTTTCTCACCTCCTCCAGTTTTCTTCTCCTCTCTTCCTTTGATTTCAGCCGATTTGTTTGGATTAGACCGTGTCCCCTTCATAAATATGCTAGATCTACTAAAAGCTGATATCTTTCTTAGTTGATTTCGATGGAATGAAATGTCTAGTGGCTTGCTTTTTTGTTCTAAGATGGCCAATGATGACTAATGTTGCTGATTTGTGATGCTTATGAATAGATTTTTCCTACACTTATTCCTATTTCCTGTTGATTTGTGTTATGCCATTGTATCTTTGCCTACAAATAGAAGTTACTGATAAGGCAAGAAATAGTGCGTTCTTTTAAATTGATACTGACAGATACACACTTGATTAATAGTGCTTATTTGTGATGCATAAGAACAGATATGCCTGCACTTGACCTTATTCGATAAGGTCAGGCCACCAAACATGCCCTTTCTAAGTTTCTGTCTTTCTGTGATCTTTCTCAGTATTTTATACTTCAGATGATCTTAGCAGAACTGAGGCCACCTCTACACTTGAATTGAGCAGAATTTATAAGAGTACATGAACAGATTTTTCTACACTTGTTCTTTTTTCTTGCTGTTAGGCTGGGAAAGATGGCCAATGATGATATATGCTGCTGTTTGTGATGCATGTGAATAAATTTTTGCTCTACACTTGTTCTCATTTTCTTGTGGTTTTTTTTCCTACATTTGGTCTTATTTTCCTTTTCCTTATACCTTTTCTTTTGCTACATTTGATAGATACTGGTAAGAACAGATACCAATGATAGTAGCTAATTCACATTCTTCATATATCTGAGGCCATTGTTCTGCATTTATTTACCTGCTGGAAATGAGGCTCAATGATGTCAAATTTCTGCACATTTGCTACATTTTCGAGTTATTGATGTCAGGCAAATACTATCAAGTTCCTTGTTCATGTTTTGATATCAACAGATGTACTCATTTTTTTTTGGTAACCACACTTGATTTTGACATGATCAAGTTTTTATATGAAACCGATACACTCTGCACTTGCTCTTTTGGTAAAGATAATACTACTATTAAGTGTTGATGTTCTTGCGACCTGATCTCTGCAACTCTGATCCTGTACTGTTTCAAAGGTACAGGTTATCCTGTTTACTTTTACTATGTTTCAGGAAAATGTGATAATGGAAAAACTTGTGAGATCAAGTGTAGATATACTAAGGTTGATGAGTTTGAAGCAATCTGTACAAAAGCTTGCAGGCAGAACATAGCTGAAACAGATGGTTTAGTTTTGTATGCGGTTACAGATTTGTTTATCAAATTGGTTACTTGTAAAAAACTTGCCATGAGCACGTATATTTGTATGTTTGTTTTGAATTGTCAAATGTACCAGTGTCGTCAATAAAATTATGTAGTTGATTTTTGCTAGAATAATCACTCTTGCGTGTTCATCCAGGCCATTTCGTTACATTTGTTAAAAAAAAAATTATCATCAGTGCTGCTCATTGGTTTTAAAAAATGACATCAGTAAAACATACATGCACAGTACATCGATTCTCTAAGACAAAAATGAGCTTAGGAATATTAGTAGGTGTGCACACACCCAGAGTAACATAATTTAATCTATAACCTCTACGACGGATTAAACTTATCACACATAAATAGATTAGGGACTTGGAAAAAATCTTGTTTCACAAACTTTATGGGGGTAACCTCACCACCCACAAGAATAGGTATTTTACACACAATATGTATCTATCCAACCAAACAACATCTCCTGCATGCTACCATTCCATCCGCCCCTTGCTGCAACCAACCAAACAACATCTCATCATATCCAGGTTCATCTCATCCAAGCAACCAAATGCCTGCATGTGTATCCCCTAAACCAGGCTCAGCTTAGCCTGGATGAGGGAGATGAGCCAGGCTAGAGGGATACGAGCAACCAAACACACCCTTAGATTTCTTGAAAGATTTGGTCAGCAAAATTTAGTACTAACTTAGATTGGATACTTGTATTATCGATCTGTAGTTATAGTTTACATGAGATGCACATCACATCAGAAATGTTTTCATGACACCTTCCGTTCCAACTGCCTGTATGTTTCACATTTGCTCTCGAGAAACTAGTCCCTTTGTATCACTGCTATTAGTTATGTTGTTCTTTTCTGTATGGTTCACTATGGCTGTGTGGATGTTGTTCTTTTCTGTACATATAAATGTCAACTTGTAGACTCTGTTCAGAATCAATCATCTCAATTTTCAACCTATGATGTATGTTGGTATTGAAAAAGGATTGGTGTGAGTGAGTGGATGACAGGCATGGCTCAAAATGTGTCTTTGAAGGGTGTTAAAATGCCCATAGATTCTGCTGATTGGAATGACTACAACACTAGAGTTGTCTGTGAGATTTTTGGCTATCTTGCAGCAACTTGAAAGTATCAATCTTTTGGAGTACCAATTTTGAATTACTTTTAGAACCTTACATACTTACCATGTTGAAATTATTAAGGAAAAGGAACGATTAATAATCACCATGTTAAAATTATTAGATGTGTCTTGTTTAGTCCATATTTTCAGGTTGTTATCCTGTAGAATAGAGTGCTCATTTTAGCCTTAGTTCGTGCAGATGATTGTAGATGATCAAAGCTTTAATATGCATCTTGATGCATAAGGTTTTATTTTATATGTGCAACAACCTAGAGAAACTCAAATCTGTCTGGTATGCCATCTTGTTCTTGTCTTTGATTCTGTTCTTTGAGTTCATTTCAAATTATGTATCGCATTACAGAAAATTTTATCTTATATTTTTCTAATCATTCTATAAAAACTAATAGTTCTTCTCTGAGAATGATTCACATGAAATTTGTGATGTCCATGTCACATGCAGTCCATTAAGGCCCTTGGCATGGCACATGCGACGACAACCACAACCTTAGTTTTGTTTGTCATATCATCTCTGTTACTGTTTGGTGCACCTTTTTTTTCAAACCTTGTAATTTTGGATTATCATTAACAGCAACAGTGTATTTTAATTTTTCTTTGTCAGTTGAACTCTTAGATCTTACTGTGTATTACCATGCCATTTTCTACCTGTATTTTACAGTATGTGTTTCAAATGCAGGCACTGCACTATGGCGTCTAGACGCAATGTTGGGGGGTATGCTCCTCTTCCTACAGAGGACAGGGATGACAGCAACCTTACTGATGATGTAGACCTTCGGTTCACTTACACCCCAAAATCCCTCAGAAAAATCCCGTGGAAATCAATTGCCCTGGCACTATTCCTCCTCCTCCTAGGATGTTCTCTTCTCTTCCTGTCATATTTTATATTCACAGGTCACATGGAGGGGGATAACTCTCAGGCATATGGTCTCTTGTTCCTGGGCATCCTTGCCTTCCTTCCTGGTATGTTAATGTACACTGGTTTACCTTACATTTTCACGTAACGTTATCATGGAATTTTTTTCATCTTCTCAATGAAATTTTTCCCCCAATTATTTATTGATCATTTGCCATGACTTCCTTCAAAAGTATTTATTTTAGTGTAGTTTGATGGAAATATTGCTACATTTTTCTATAAACTTGGTCAAATTTGAAGAAGTTTGACTTAGGACAAACCCAAAACACCTTATAATGTGGAATGGAGGGAGTGCCATACTGGAAACAGAATGGTCATACTCTTTGGATATGAAATCTATTTAAGTGTGCATCAGTGTAAAATTATGTCCTTTGTTATTGTTGTAGATAGTAGACAGCTCTACTATTGTATCCATTTAGCGAGATGGATTATATTGTTCTGACATTGTTTTGTAGGTTTTTATGAGACTCGAGTTGCTTACTATTCCTCGAGAGGGGCACCAGGATACACCTTTGCATCTATTCCAGATTATTAACCTTCCATTGTCTCACCAAGGGACAGTGACGATAGAACATGGACAAAAACTTGAATCTTCAATCAGGATGCAGGAATCAAATGAGCTCTTATTTTATTACCACTAAACTGTTAACATCTAAATGAAGTCAGCTGCTGACTGCTGTGTTCACCTGATGGCATTGCTCACCAGGTGTCACTTATCTGTGCTTTGCAGACAAAGTAAACTCGTGGTCATACTCGTCTGTTGCTACATACTCCAGATGTAGATGGCTGTTTGTCACCAGGAGTAGATGGCTGTTTTAAAGTTACCGCATATTTTTGTTCCACAATTCCATTGTATTTTGTGTTGATGTCATTAAGGTTTTATTTTGGCTGCAGAAATAGTATAACCATACTTTCATCTATATATTCAAGTTCTTATAGCAGCTGATGGCAATGTGTTTTTTGTACTGCTTTTCTCCATCATGATATTTGTACGGATAAATTCCTTCTGTGCTACTGAAAGTAAATCTATTCCGACAGCTCGGCTCCTCGGTGGATTCTAATGTGATCGATTTATACATTTGAATAGAGGTCAGGGGCTACTGTTATTGTCCTAAATATGGGATACTCTATACTTGTGTACTAAACTTGGTTGGGCCCACCATCAAATAATTGTTCTAAAAATGTTCATGACTATTCGTGTATTTATTTTTTATAAAACGAGGAACATCATGAAAACATCCATATGATGGCATATATACGGGGCAAAACTTTGTAACAGCATCTTTTTCATAGACCATAAACTCTGAAAAGGAATCTCTTTTTTTTCATCTAATTAAAAAAACCATAAATTCCCTCATGGCAATAAAGGACGATGCATCATTTAATGGGGAGAGAAATTAACGGAAAATCAATAATCGATTCTACAAATCCACGATATAATCATTGATTCGAGACGATCGATCAGGTCATTAAATGCCATGCAAAATTTTGTGCTTATATAATTGACACGCAATGGCGTCAAGAAAACCATCTGTTTCAACATTATCTTACAGACTTGCAGAGGTTTCCACAATGGCCTCCTCCAACAATGGCGTCAGCGCTCTCTTCCTCTTGGCTGTTCTCCTAATTGCTGCGTCTCAACTCGCCGCCGGCATCAACTCGGCCGTGTACGGTGCGTGCAAGACCATCGCCGGCGGCAGCGGGCTCATCGGCGTCACGTTCTGCATCGACGCGCTCAGCTCCGACAACCGGAGCAGCAACGTCGGCAGCTACAAGGAGTTCGCGGTGATCGCCGTCGACCTCCTCACGGCCAACGCGACGAGCACCAAGTCCGAGATAGACGCCATGCTCCGGAGCAGCGGCGGCGGCGGCGACGCCACGACGCGGTGCCTCAAGTCATGCCAGGCGGTGTACGGCGGGATACTGCAAGTTCAGGCCGCCGTCGGCGCCGCCGTGAAGGGCGGCAGGTTCCAGGAGGCGATTTCATCGCTGGAGAAATCGGCGAGCGCGGTGAAGGAGTGCCGGGACGGGTTCGGCAAGAGCAATGTGACGTCGCCGCTCTCTGTGGAGAACGACGACACCTTCCAGCTTGCGGAGCTCATCGTTTTGCTCATCCGTGACGAACCATGATAGAGATGATGTTTATACGTAGTCGTTTTTTACTCAAAGCATATTTAGCCATTTGTTATTTATCTCATTTTCAAATAAACAACGATCAGGGGATGGGTTTTGCAATTCAGAGAGAATGAACATGCGCACAATGCAGATTTGGCTGGGTTTGGGAGGAGGGGTTGGGGCACGCAAAACGAAGCTCGTATTATTGTATGATTAATTAAGTATTAACTTTTTTTAAATGAATTATATGATTTTTTTAAATAACTTTCATATAGAAAGTTTTTACATAAATCATTACATTTAGCAGTTTGAAAAGCGTGTGCGTGGAAAACGAGAGAGGTGGGTTGGGAAAATGAAGGGTAGAACACAGCCTATTTTTCTTCAGAACATTTTTACAAGAAGCCCTTTTAAAAAACATTCCAAAAATAAGCCCTGTCGTGCAACGCAAACGGCACGACGCGTGTGACATGAGCGGAGAAGAGGAGCGGGCTGGCGCGGCGCATGTGTGGTCGAGTGAGCAGACGTGTGAGCAGATGTGTGTGAGAGAGCGTGCCAGTCGTGGGGACGTACGTAGCGGGCGGGTGGGTCCATGTCCGCGTGGAGGCGTGGAGTCGTGGAGAGAGCGTCTGTATGTACAATGCTGCTCACTGATATGTAGGCCCAATAGATCCTTGAGCCCACATGTCAGTGTGTATTTAGGGTTTACTAAACCGTTAGGGTGGGTTATTGTCACCCCACGTTTTAACGGTTACCGTGATAACCACACAGTTACCGCAAGGTATACTAGAGTTTCAAAAGCTGAGAATGTTACCGTACGTGATAATCACGATAACCGTACGTTTTTTTTATTTTAAACCCTGGTATTACTGCAGAGGATCTCAATTAGGAGGCATGTGGGTGTTTTTTTTTGGGGGGGATTGCTTTTAAACTCTAAGAGGATATGTCTCTCTCTAGCATGTTGTCTAAATTATTATGAAAAATTTTAAAACAAATTGACACGATAAATCAATATATGTTATACCATTTCATAAATATATAAATTAAAATTTGGCATCTATAAGTTGAGAGAGGGGGTTATCTTAAAAAATGAAGAGAGTGGACTATGGCAACGATGATGTCTGGTGATGCGTGATGGCAATGAACAGCGGAGCGAGCTCCTTTGACGTAAAGTCCGAGGGACGTGGGTCCCTGATGATAGGCGAGGCCCACTTTCATAGGCCCACACGTCAATAGCCATGTCCCTCTGACTTTACGTGAAGCCTCGTCCGTGAACAGCGGGATGGACGGAGTGGCATATAATGGAAGAACTCGCATTCTCGATGATAAATTCCCCAAGGCATATAAATTAGGAGAAAACAGACGATATGCCACTCTCTAAGATGGGTTCGGATAAAATGCCACTCAATATAATGCACCAGATAAAATGCCACTCAATACATTGTTTACCGGATGAAATGCCACTTTGGAGACTTTTATGCCCAAAATGTCCGTGTAGCACAGGATGACTCGCCAGGCGGCGGTGGCGGTGGCGGCGACGGACCGCGGGGACGACAGGGGGAGGAGGACAGGGTGGCGAGGACGACAGGGCGGAGGAAGAGGCCACGCTGATGGAGCCTTAGACGGACCTGTCGACGGCTGTCGTCCCCGTCGCCGCCCGACCACTGCTGCTTGCGACGCCGTCCTCCTCCCGCATCGCCTCTTCCTCCTCCTCCCCCACGTCGCCTCCTCGTCCTCCCCCGGTGGCGAGTGCGCGTGGGTGCCACTGCCGCCGCCGTCCTCCTTCCCCACATCAGCGCCCTCGCCCTATGGAGCCGGCGCTGTCCTCCCCTCGATGGCCCCTCCCCGATGGAGCCGGCGCTGTCCTTCCCCCTTCAGCGGGGCCCTCCTCCTCCCCTTCTTGCTGCCCACCCCCGCGCGCTCGCTGCCCACCGGCGACGAGCACGGCCGCCGTCGTTTCTCTCTCCCTTTCTCTCTCTCCACGGTGAGGGCATTTTGGTCTCAAAACTGCTCAAAGTGGTAAAGTATACTGAGTGGCATTTTATCCTTTGCAATCTAATGGGTGACATTTTTTCCTTTGCAATATTGTGGAGTGACATTTTATATTAGGCAGTAAATTTCGAAAGGATTGTAAATTTGGATGGTACATAATTAATTTTTTCGTTTTGATGGCAAAATCAATAGAATGAAATTTACGCATGTATCAATTCGCGGCAGGCAGTCATAATTGGAGGGAGAAATTAACTGGGAAGAATATATCAATAATTGATTCTACATATCCACATAATCACTAATTAACTGGGAATTTAAAGCCATGCAAAATTTGTGCATATATAACTCACCCGCAAGGGAGTTCAGAAAACCATCCAATTCAACAAATCATCTTACATAGGTTGATCGAAGATCAAATCCACCAGTATACGTAGGAAACTGAAAATGTCCTCCATTAATGGCGTCAGTATCCTCTTCCTCCTCGCCGTCCTCCTTCCGGCGTCTCAGCTCGCCGCCGGCATCGACTCGGCCCTGTACGGTGCATGCAAGACCGTCGCCGGCAACAGCGGGGTGGTCAGCGTCACGTTCTGCATCTACGCACTCAGCTCCGACAACCGGAGCCACGACGCCGCCGGCTTCAAGGACTACGCCGTCGTCACCGTCGACCTCATCACGGCCAACGCGACGAGCACCAAGTCCAAGATAGACGGCATCCTCCAGAACGGCGGCGGCGGCGGCGCCGGCGACGCCAAGAGGCGGTGCCTCCAGTCGTGCCAGGCGGCGTACGCCGGCGTGCTGCGAGCTCAGCCTGGCATCGTCGCCGACGTGCAGGGCGGCCGGTTGCCGGAGGCGATTTCAGCGCTGGAGAAGTCGGCCAGCGGTGCAGGAATGCGAGAATGGTTTCGGCAAGAGCAACGTGACGTCACCGGTCACCGCGGATGACGACGACTCCTTCGGCCTTGCCAAGCCTGCCGCTGAGTTTCTTCGTTGGGAATTGAAATCCTGAAAGAGAGATCGATTATCTAATCTGTTTTTTCTCAACATAATTAGCTATTTATTTCCCTCTATGGCCATATCTCCTTCTCAAATAAACAAAGATAAAGGGAGGTTGAAATGGATTTGCAATTTAGAGAAAATTAGCATGCACGCAAGTGGAGTATCTTAAACATGTTTTTTTTATTTTACATGCTGCTAATGGTATTTATGTATTCCCTAATTTATCTTCTCTAATGTTTCCACAATTAGAAGACATATGGATCCTACAGGCCTACTCCTAGTATGCCTAGAATAGGAGACATAGTAGGCCTATGCCTAGAATAGGAGACATAGTAATTTACTTTTGACTACTGTCTCGGTTCCTTTTCGCGCTCGATTTTTCAGCATATCCGGATCTATCGTGCTTGACACTGTATTTCTGATTTTTTTTACCGTGATTGATTAGTAAGTTTAATTAAACTTTTTAACAGAAGGTTTAATTTTAAATTGAAAATTTTGAGTAAATTTTAATTCAAATTTAAAAACTTTTAACTCATGAAAACTGTAAAGTCAAATTTTAAGAAACTTCACGAATTTTGAAAACTTTCAAGTCAAATATTGAAAGCTATTAACTCGAATTTTTAAAAAATTTTAACTCAAATTTGAAAAATTTTAACTCGAGTTTGAAAACTTTCAACTCGAATATTAAAAACTTTCAACTCAAATTTTGAAAACTTTCAACTCAAATTTTGAAAACTTTCAAACCAAATTTAAAACTTTCAATTAAAAATTTTCAACTCAAATTTTAAAAACTTTCAGCTACAAATTTAAAATTTTAACTAAATTATTTATGTATTTCTTTAACATAATGGTATAAGCACTGTCATCAGAGATGAGCACTACAGTGAGAAAGTTTATTAACGAATAGGAGCAAACTCAAGGTCATTGATATGCTTTAGAAGAGAGTCGAGGTGCTCCAAAGTGAAACAACAGCAAGATTATATAGTCCAAAATGAAGACATTGGTTTAAGGGTGGTCCAAAGCGAAACATCCTAATAAAAGGTGGTCTAAAGTGAAATTACTCAACAACAAATTAAACTCTAAATAGTTTACGTATATTCATAGTTAAATTTGTTTGTTTTTGTTACAACTTATGGAAGCCAAATTATAACTTGTAGTTTGTGGAGTGATATATTACATGTTAAACCATATTGTCAAATTTTTTTTGAAACATTTTTATAACCATTTAGTTGACATGCAATAAACGAGTGGATGTCTACACGGGTGATTACAATCCCTCTCTGTTCTGCCAGGCTTGCTGATTCTGTCAGCAAAATTAAAAAAGAGGTGGTTCATACTAAAATCAAATTTGTTGTACATACTAAAGTTCAAATAAAGCCCTCACTATAAAAAAAAAAGAAGTTGCATAAATATTAAGACATTACATCATTCCCAGTCCCAATATACCACCCTGCAACTTGTGTTCTAAAACATAGCCAGATCAAATGAGGTCAATGAGAATGGAAGGAGTAAGAACTGCATCTCTTGCCCAGCATTGGGTAACTCCCTTGTAACTGGCACAACCTGCAACAATCTAGTATGTTAGACAAACTCGCGATGCCTGATAATTTCTTGTGTTCCACTGAAATTAATTCACTGCATACAACTCCTTTAGAAAGATGATGAAATAATTCCAGACACGACCAAATAAACAGGTTCCGTAAAAGCTTACGAAGAAAACTAAAAGGAAGAACAGAGAAGATAGATCTACAAAGGGTATATGCTTATGTACCACACACCACTACTTTGAGTACTACAAATAGGAGACATACAGCTCCCACAGTTTTACTTCAAAAATAAGGGCATATGTCCTAACAGACTATAATGTTGTAATGGAAAAGCTGTCCTCTGCTAAATTTCAGTGCATAATTATGAAACAAATAGTGATCAAATAACGACTATCTTACCTTGTTTGGTTCACTAAATGAATTCTCATCCAGTAAGTTGCTGGATGTGAGAACAGTCACAGTTGATTTTGCCGCATTTACACCAGCTTGAAGTCCACTTGAAGATATTGTAAGGTTCACAGCACTTGGCCCAAAGTTTACTATCTGCAGATAGAATCAGTATGTTCTAATATATATGAGCATATTACTCCAGCAGTAGAACAAATAAGACAGATGTTACGCAAGTAACCGGTGCTTCAATCAATTTTATATTGTTGAAACTACATTATTCTAAACACTAAGGCGCTTGTCGATCAATGATTTCAAGCAATGGTATACAAGTTTGGAGAAACTGGAATGGTTGGTTTACCTTTACCCTCAGAAAGATATCCTCATTGTCCTGCCAGGTGATTGCAGATGCTGCCAGTAAATCAAAGTAGCTGGAGCTGATAGTGACTGGATGAATCACAGAACCACTTGATTCACGGAAATATGTTTGCATCCAATAACTAGGAGTTCCATACTGTTGCCAGGAGTTGAAGACAATTGCATCTGGGTTCCAGCTGGTTTTTAGATTTACACATTAATTGTCAAAGAGAGAACAGATGCTAGAATCCTAAACAAAGTAAAGTACTAAACCATGAATACTAACGTGCGATCATTTTCATTCACGAAGAGTGGTGCATAGCTTGCCATCTGAATGACATCGCTGCAAAGAAGCAAGCAAAGTCCAATTCAGTGTAAATATTTGTTTTTTTAATAAAGCTTCCTCTTCCCCGCAAAAAGAAATATTTACAAATTAGAAATTTATACATACTAGTTTTCCTATAATTTCTGAAATAGTTATTTTCCTTCTGTGGTGAAGTAGAAGAATGAGATAATAATTGTAGAGACAAATTAACCATTTGTCTAGGAATCCCTTCAAAGATCTTTTATGTTCATGCATAATCTGGAGACAACATTATATGCATGATTTTATATTTCCTCTGTGTAAACGAGAGGGATTGGCGAAATAAGATGAATAATTATTGTATTAAGCTTCAAGGGCTGTTTATATAGCATGCATGGCTTGGAGGTTAAGAAACTATCTTCGAGATAAGAAAAGCCTCTTAGGGATAAGTCAGTATCGGGATGACAAATACTAAACTTCCAAATACAGAGATATGCCAAATTGCCAATATACTCTAATGCTCTAAACCCAAGATAAAGGAGAGAGTATCCTGAGAGGAACTAAAGGGATCACCTGTTTTTCTCTAAACCAGTGAGGAAAGCAGCTTCTGCCAACGATGCAAGGAGGCTTCCATTGCCAGCATCACCCCCTTTGTCATTATTAACAGCATACTCGCTTACAAATACCTGGAGTGAAACAATAGCATAATCAATGGTTATTTTGACTGTCTGAGAAAACAGTAAGACATAATTTTAAAACAGGGAGAATGATACAACCAAATTAGCTTCGGTTAGTATTTTACATGGAAGTCATACAGATCAGCAGGATGATCAAGTGGCCTAGACGAGCCATCACAGTTCGAAATTATTTGAATGTCAGGATAAGCCTCTCGTATAGCATTGTAGAACTTGGGGTAATTTTCTGTTCAGCATAATTATATGGTTATATGATATCACAGGAAAATTAGGATATTGGTGATAGCAGTAGAGCATTGAAGTGTACTGAAACAACATTAATTATAATTGATAGTCAATTTAGCTTTGTTCACATGCAACTAGTAAAGTGTGTCTGTTTCAAAACATAACAACAGGCTAGACAATTAACCTATTTTCATTTGTTTTTCCTAGAATACTTCCATTATAGTACTCAGAGTCAAAAGAGTTGCAGGTAAATGAAATAGCGCTTTTGTTGCAGATCAATAGAGAACAGAATAATGAATTTTGGTAATTATCACAGCATTGACATGAAGGACCATAAACATACTATTTTGTTTTAGTCAAAATTTACCTTGGTATGTCGGCTTGAATATTTCACAATCTTCATTCCCGAGTGCAACATACTTCAGTGGGAATGGTTCAGGGTGTCCCATCGCGGCTCTAACAGAGCCCCATGTTGATTCTTTACTCCCTCTTGCAAACTCAAGACTGTCTATTGCATCCTGTAGCAAGAAAATCAAAGTATTTCGAAATAATAAACATGGGATGACAATAAATGCAATGCCTTATGTAATATTCACAAGTTATAACTGTTTTCTGTTACATCATGAGAAGCCAATCTTCATCTCAACCATACTTCAAAAAATTGTAGGGTATCGAAAACATACCTTTACAAAAGGTGTAAGCATAGTTCCATTAACTACATCACTGTGACTCATCCCTAAATCACAAGATAAAAACTCCGAGCAGTTCATTGGTATGCGAGGAGAAAAGATTAAAAAAAAAGTAAAACAAGACAAAGTAGATGCAGAATATTTACCAATGTTGAGCACCCGACTGGAGCAGCACCCAAGTCTTCAGCAAGATTTATGAAGACATGAACAGTTCGAAGTAAACAAATGATCAGATATGATGAGACCAAGAGAGAACTCATTTGACATTAATCAATCCATACCTGGAGAAAGTCATAATACCCAAGGCCATCATCGGTCCAGTAGTGCCAAACATCTCCATAGTGCCCAGGTCTCTCTTCCCATGGACCAATAGTTTCCTTCCACCTGAACGCATTTTTTAACCAATTGCCTTCAACAAAGCAACCCCCTGCCAAATGTAATGCCAGCGATTAAATTACAGGGCAACCAAAATTGATTACCAGTTGGAAAACAATCATAATACCAGGAAACCGTAGAAACCGTGGTTTTAAGTCCAAAAGCATGTACATGAGTTCCTGGCGAAAACCATGGCCCTGCATACATGGAAGAAAAATGCCTATCAACAACTCCTGTGAACTAATAGTAAGCATGGCTAGATTAAGGAACAATAAGTTGATCTCACATCTCTACAGGACTACCGATTACAGATAAGTTAATTTTTTTTTTTTGTCAGATAGAAATGAGAACAACTGACCATTTTTATGATGACTTTTTTCGAATATTCTTGAAAAATGTCAAATAGCATACATGATTTGAAGAGGGTGCCCATTGAACCTGGCATGCTTATACTAGTGACTAAATCTTTGGGGTCAGTACATGAATATTATTCTCCATTCTTCATAAGATGATAGCAGATTCCGGATCAAGCTATGATGACAATAGCAATAAGAAGATAAAAGGCAATGCACCTTGTATGTTTCTGAAGGCATGAGTGACACCTGATCAAGCCATATCACTCCCCTTCTCCTAGTTGTCAGTTCAAGTCTTGAAGTTCTGCATGTCCCATGAGCTAGTAACTGCAGCTCTATCTTTGTCCAATTTAACAAATCAGTTTCTCTGAAAAATTTGATGTACAATCCTATGAGTTAGCTAGCGAACAAGAGAGAGAGAGAGAGAGAGAGAGAGAGAGCGAGAAATTGAGAAAGCTTTTTCTTAATCTCAGTGCTAAGGAAAAAAAATATATACCGAACAAAATTTGATGCCAGATTTTGCGATCCATTTGAGCATGTGAGTGAAGCCGTCAACTCCACCGATTCTAATGATCTGATATGCATGACTAGATTATATGTCTTCCTTTCTTCTACATTCTGAAAATTGAAATGATCATAATCACATTAAAATATCAGAAGGTAAAAGTGAAAATGGTTTGACGAAAAGCTATAACACTGATTACACTTTCCAAGCAAGTGATGCACGGCAATAAGATAGAAAACCAGCATTATGCGATCAATGCAAATTGAAAGCAAACAAAAAATAGGTTAGCTTAGTTATCTGTTAGCTTCAGTATTTTGATAAGAATAATAACTTTGCTATAATTACCTTCGGTGGCAGCACCGTATACTTTAAACTATCATCAGAAAAAAGATTCTTTCGATTACAAGATCTATTTTGCATATTCATATGGGAATGAGCTGCTATATGCTGAGAGAGAACTTATACCATGCCCCAGAATCCTGGATTGTATATTCCAACACCACCAGCTGGACAATCGTCACAGACAACCTCTATCCTTACAGCAACCGGATTTTGACTGAAACAGGATGAGCGATCAGTTGTGACGTGCACAGAGGATTCATCTCCAATGATGGACCATGGGTCAATGTTTGATGTGTTGGCTCCAGCTTCAAAACCTAAAGCAAGAAATTAGACAAAAGTTCAGTTAAAGTTAAACTTCAAATATTATTATTTATTTATTTATTTATTGAGGGGGAAAATGTTTTCTTATTCAACATTGCTATACATGAGGTGATTGATTTCTCCCCAAATATTCTTGGCAGTAAGATCACAATTCACAAATCCAACCATCCATGTTGCTTCTTCAACCTCCAGCCTTCTCGCACACAGACACACACCACCCCCAACCAAAACGAGGTCGCCGGTGAATCTCGAGCATCCCTGCGCCGATGAGCCTCCTCCTCCTCCTCCTCCTTTTGGCTTTCCTCCCCGGCGCGACAGAGGGCGAATGGATTAGGGTATTGTGTTGGGGTGGGGCCGTGGAGTGGATCTGGCGGGGTAGGGGGTTTGTGGAGGGAGGAGCAGTTCATCGGGGCTGCGTATTCAGGGAGGGGAGGCCTTGGGCGGTAGGGCGAGGCGGTGGGGTGGCGCCGCCGGTGCGGTGGGTGAGGAGGCGGCGGATCCGGCCGCGAGAGACGCCGGAGATGGTGCAGGTGCAGGTGCAGGTGCGGGGAGGGAGGAGGCAGGAGGGAATCGTTCACAAGAGATGAAAAGAAAGAAGAGAGGAGAGAGAGAGAGAGAGAGAGAGAGAGAGCGTAGCCATGAGCTGGAGGTTGAAGACGATCTATCAACCGTTGGATGGGCATCCAACGGCTGACAGCACTCCACTGCTATCTCCTCCTCTAATTTAAGACTGAATTGTACTTTGTGCGTAAACGTTTCACTTTGCATCACCCTATACACAATTTTTTTTACTTTGGACTAGATAATTTTATCTTTATTACATAATGGACACCCTAACTCTCTTTGTTAGCCATGTCTATCATTTCCTTCGGCAAAGATATAGCATGCATATAAGTATGAAAGTTCATCAGCATGTCGTTAACGATTTGCTCAAAATCATTGAAGTGCTGAAGATGTGGTTTTGAGTAATCCATTATACAACAAAGATAAAGTTATTTAAAATGAAAAAATTGAACATAGGATGATCCAAAAACCAAAATGAAATTTTAAAAATAAAACATGATCCAAATAAAATTAACTCTTTAATTTAATGCTCAACTTCACAAGAGAAGAGCTCTAGAAAAACAAAAAGGAGAAGAGAGACAAATCGTGTCTATGAGCTGGAGGTTGAAGACGATCAATCAGCCTGGATGGGCATCCAACGGCTGATACCACTCCACTGCTCTTCTTTATAATTTAATGGTCAACTTCAGCTCGGAAGCCAAATAAAATAGGAGTAGTATAATGTGGTGTACGTGTACCTCTGTTACTGACGAGTTCAGCCCAAAGGCCACCACTTCCAGCGTGGTTAATCTCCTGCACAAATAATAATAATACAGATTTCGATAAGGAAAAAAGCAAAGCATCCGCAGGAGAATAAATGGAAAAAGAAGAAAGAAATGAAAAGAAACGAGACGTAGCTAGCTAGCTAGTCACCTCGAAGAACAGACCGAACAGAGTGTCCGGCATTCTTCGAGCGACAGAGTAATCGACATGGAGAGACGCCGTCTCCAACGTCTCGGCTTCGCATCTGCTGCCGCCGCCGACGAAGAAAAGAACGAGGAAGACGACGACGACGACAATGGCTTGCCGGGACAGCATGCTCCTCGTCGCCGGCGGCCACACTCTCATCATTCTCTCTGCGACCACAATGATCAATGGATTGGGTACGTTGTTACTTGCGAGAGGGAGGCTTGATTATTCGAGGTTGCTCCATATCTACTGCTGGAAATTGCTCTAGTTAGATAGAGTAAGTCACTTGCTAAAATTGCCAACAAGTTAGTTCATTCACATATATGGGTTCCAGTAAAAATGTACAGCCAGAGCCCATATTTTCTTCATTTTTCCTCTTCTTTATCTGCTCATCTTGATTCATTCCACAGAAATTCCTCTGCCAAGGGAGGCTTGAGTTAGTGTGACATGAACTACACTACTTGAGTTACACGAAACGATCCAAAATGATTATTTGAGGTTGCACGATCTACTGCTGGTAAATGCTTTAGTTAGAGAGAGTCAGTCACTTGCTAAAATTGCCAACAAGTTACTAGTTCACTTCACAAGTTCACATGGGTTCCAGCCAAAATGTACAGCCAGCCCATGCATATTTTCTTCCTTTTTCCTCTTCTTTATCTTCTCATCTTGATTCATTCGACAGAAACATATCGAGGAAGACGAATGAGCACAAGCATTTCTATTGCTAACCCCGTGCACGTTGCAGCTGCACATCTCTGCCACCAGCACCACTTTGTTTGGACCGGCCCAGATCAAGAACGAATGAGGAGCAAGTGCATATGCTCCTGCATCGAAGCTGTGGCTTGAGATGGCCAAAACCACCAATTATACCACACATTGACTTGTGCATTACATCCAGAGATAAAAGTAGAAAACAGTTGCTTACCTTATCCGGGGTTACTGAAACAGTTCTCATCAATGCAAAAGACACAAAGTTTCCCTCTCCAATCTTTTCTCCCATCATGATTTTATCAACCACCAGTTGAATTTGTTCTCTACTCAGCTTCCCACAATGTAAATGACTAGTCAGTATACCTATATGGGGAACATGCCATATTTACAGTGAAACATAACCACAAAGAATCAACAGCCATCCTAATATGGATTGGACTCCATTTGGATCTGCTCAATCCTAAATTCAAATTCTCAGTCCATAATCTGAGCCTTAATTTTCTCAAGTTTAAATGCCAACTTCAGTTCAAGTTCAAATCCTTAATCAAATTCTGATATTCTCTACAAATCTGTTATCCTTGGACCAAATTATTTTCTCTTTCCCAGGCCAAAGAGCTCATATTTGTTATCCTTGGAACAAAGCAACACGGTGGCAATGCGCCATCTAGTCTCATCCGATATAAATATGGAGAAAGCAAAAAAAAAAGAAAAGAAAAGAAAAGAAACGAAAAGAAGGAAGTAAGCCAGGAGTGAATTTTATTCATCATTCCCTGTGTATTACACTATACAGTAGTGCTTCAAGATACATGCACATATATGGACAGCATTCTGGTATTCGCATATCACATCTCGTGTATTTCTTGTGTTTCTGTCGCTAACCTTGTGTTGCTGCTTCACATCTCTGCCACGAGTTTGGACTGGGCAAGCGCAAGATCGAATGAGGAGAAAGAGTGAGGAGCAAGCGTGACTTGCATCTGCTCTGCTGCATTGGAAAGCTGGCTTTTGACAGGAACAACCTGCATTGGTTGTCATGAGCAAAGCTTTGGCTTCAGATGACCAAAACCACAAACTCTACTAGACATTGATATGTGCATTACATCCAGTAAGAAGTCAGAAATGTTTGCTTACCTTATTCGGGTTACTAAAAGAGTTCTCATCCATCACATTACTGGATGTGAGAACAGTGGCAGTTGATCCCAGTGCATTAACACGGGCCTGAAGCCCAGTTGCAGAGATCGTGAGGCTCACTGGATCAGACCCAAAGTTTATAATCTGCACAGGAGATTTCAAGATCAATTCATGAGGTACGCAATCTCCTACAGATGTAGAGTAGGTTTAGAACAAAATTTCTTACCTTTACTCTTAAGAAGCTATTTTCAGAATCCTGCCAAGTAATTGCAGATGCTGCCAGAGAACCAGAGTAGCTGGAAGTGATTGTAACTGGATGAAACATAGCACCGCTAGATTCACCGAAAAGAGTCTGCATCCAGTAACTAGGAGTTCCATATTGTTGCCAGGAGTTAAATACAATGGCGTCTGGGTTCCACCTGATTGTTTGATTGAAGCATTATTACAGTACTTGTTAAATAAACAAAAACACAAATAAAGAAACCATGGAGTCATCAAAACTAACGTTTGATCATTGTTGTTCACGAAGAGTGGTGCATAACTTGCCATCTGAACAACATCACTGCAAAGAACCAACAAGAAGTTACAATGAATATCTTGTTGCATTTGTTAGTAGATCTTAATAAAGCCCTACCCAGAGGAAAGCTCAAATGTGATCTGTCACAAGACCCAGAAAGAAAAGATTGTTTCAAGGAAAGATCACCTATTCTTCTCCAGTCCAGTAAGGAAAGCTGCCTCTGCCAATGAAGCAAGTAGACTTCCTCTACCTGCATCACTTCTCCAAACAGCATATTCACTGACAAAAGCCTGCAACCAAAACATATATGAAGAAAGATAGAAGTGAATAAGCAAGAGATGCAATGAGGTTCCAAGATTATCCAAAACATGTAAACATCATCACACATGACATAGATGAACTGTGGACATTACTGAATTATTGTTGAGAAATAGATGACCAAGGTCATCCTACAAATATACGAGAGATGTCATGAAATCCTGGATTATTAATGTAAAATATTAGATGAAGATGGGAGATTTCACAGTGCTATTCTACAAGCATATCCACAAATGAAAAAAGGTCCACGACAATGGAAGTCCGGGCATACAACGTACCTTGGGCCCATTACGAGATGATCTATCAAATGTATTCTTCATTGAAAACAAAGTCTTAGAATCAGTATAGACCTAGAAAAAAGGAATTGTTTCAATTTAATAAATGGGAAAAGCCTTGACATTTGTGACAAAGAATGAGAAGTGCTGGAGAACACAACTCAAGAGGATGAGTAGTTTACATGGAAATCATATAAATCAGCAGGATGGTCAAGTGGACTTGATGAAGCATCACAATTTGAAATCATTTGAATGTCTGGATAGGCCTCCCTTATAGCATTATAAAACTTGAGGTAATTACCTGTATAATGGATAAGAGAATATCATGCATGTACCTAAAATGAGAATTCAACAGTTGTTCTCCACACAATTCAAGTCAAACATGTGCCTTATCATTGGAGATTATGATCAAATATAAATGATTTACATCCCAAATTTTCTAAAAATGAAAATAATCACATTTTAGTATGTTTGCTACCAGGAATTGTTTTTATGTGTTACTAATCCTAGTTTATTTGCAACAACAAAAAAATAGAACATATATTACTACAAGTACCATTGGCTTGGCGAAGTACAGCAGAGGAAAAGGAGAACATAGGGCATAAAAAAAGTAATATTATATGCAGATTAAAATAGTGAAAACAAATGTCTCCCTGTAAGGTTTTGCTATGGAGATTTATGTGACTAAATTAATGAACCACTTCTAAGGAAACAGGTACAACTGCATAAAGAAGTTGCGGCCTTTATTTACAGAGTGAGTTGAGTGACTACCTTCATAAAAAAAATTACAGGATTAGCATGGTCCATGTACATATCTTTTATTCGATCATACACCTTAATTTATTCCAGACAAGGCTCTTCAATTTATGCAGTTATATGGTGAAGTGATAAAATAAGAAAGTAATTGAGGAATGCACCGCGGTAAAATTTTTTCCCACAATCTTCATTTCCAATTGCGACGTATTTGACAGGGAATGGTTCGGGGTGCCCCATTGCAGCTCTAACAGAACCCCATGTTGAATCTGCATTCCCCCTTGCAAATTCTAGACTGTCCAATACGTCCTGTAGAGAGACAACAAGAGATGTTCCCAAACAAAAAACTGGTGTTACGACAAGTAACATAGCTTCAATTCAAGAAAAGATATTTAGTATTTTCTTGGTAGGTACATTGTTATCTGTAAGTATACCAGAATGCAAATTCAGGTTAAACATCATCACTCCTTGTGAACATTGTGAATTAATTTTTTTGAAAAGAACTTTGAGAACTAATAGAGTAAAAGAACAAGCCCAAAACCATCTCCTTTTTTACACAAATAATCAGCTCTATTTCAATAGTGAGAAAATAAGGCAAGAGTTTTAGCATCATTCAATGAGACACATCATATGCAGTTACATTCTTAGGATCTTTAATATTTAGATATGCAAAGATAAAAGATGGAACACTACTATGATGGCAGTAAAGATAGTATCAGTTTTCTCACATGCCATATCCATGGAAGTGCAGCCATAGCTAGGACGTTACAGGTGAATTCTAAAGTGGAAACTATTTAACAAATCAAGGTGCATCTGACCTGACAGAAAATAAAATAGAGAGTTCAGAACATACTTTTACAAAAGGAGCAATCGCAGCAGTATCAACTTCATCATTATGGCTGATTCCTGATATTTAAAGAGTTTAGTGTCGATTCAGGAGGTCAGCTGTGGTGATCAAGATATAAAAAATATGGCAATTATTACCATTGTTGAACACCCAGATTGGGGCAGCACCCAGATCCTCAGAAAGCTTTGATGTGGAGTTCAAAGTTTTCATTAGAAAAATATAGAACTCAAAGGCAATATATGATTAGGACGTGATAAGAAAATGAAAGGCAGGAATAATGTCAAGTAAACTAGTACCTGGAGAAATTCATAATATCCAAGGCCATCATCAGTCCAGTAATGCCAAACATCCCCAAAGTGTCCAGGCCTCTCTTCCCATGGACCAATAGATTCCCTCCACCTGAATGCGTTCCTTAACCATTCCCCCTCCACAAAGCAACCTCCTACAATTGTTTGAATGTAAATCAAGTCAATTATCCCAGACATGTCTGGCATATATGTACATATCAAGAACTTGATTTTCAATGGGAAAATATAGCTCATACCAGGGAATCTCAAGAATCGTGGTTTTAAGTCCAACATCATAGATATAAGTT